TGTCATAGTTTGATCATCTTAACAAGGGTTGATTTTTAAGGGTTGATTTTTAAAGTGCATGAAGAAGAGTATGACTGGTTTGACATACCAAGAGGGTGAAAAAATGTAGATTGCTGCTGAGTGGTTTGAGGTTGTGGGGTTTAAAATCTTCCTTGTCCAGTTTAAGTATGTGTTAGCACTACTTGTGGTTTGGTTCTCTTGGTTTGATTAGTCTGGAACAACAAAAAAAAGTTACCTTACTAAAAAAGCTACCTTAGATACGTAACAAATCTAAATGCTTTTATGACATATACGAAACATCCAAATCAATGCTGTGTGCTGAACTAAGTGCTCTTGTTTAATGTTAAGATCATGGTCAGTTTATCAAGATCCCTTGCAAATTATTTGGATGCAGCGAGAATCCAGAATACAGCATACAATTTTTTTCACAAACATGAACTAAAAAAATAAATTCTGTTTGATGAATAAATCGTTAACAAATTCCTTAAGGGCCGTTTAATAGGCAGATTGCAGAAGGAATGGATGAATATTTGTATCAGTTGCTTTTCATCTTTGTTGCTTACATGTGTTGGTATTTTTATCAATTGAGAACTCGTGATGAGCTAATAAATGGAGTCGGCAAAAGGAATTTATCCGTCTCTCTCTCTCTCTCTCTCTCTCTCTCTCTCTCTCTCACACACACACACACACACACACACACACACACACACACACACACACACACACACACACACATATGCGCGCGCACACACAGAAGAGGCATGCTTCCAGTGACTGAAATGGGCAACATTGTGGCCATGTATAGAAAAACCAGCTGCTTGAGCGTTCTGTGGAGTGTTCATGTTTCAGTTGAACTGCATCCGAGTTTGTTTGGAGGCCATCTATCTTTTCAGAAATGTTATATATGTTTCTTTATTTAACCAGATAAAAACCCATTGAGATCAAGACCTCATTTACTAGGGTGACCTGTCCAAGAGATCTACAACACAAGATTTATGAAAAATAAATAAATAAACTAATAATAATATTAAATAGAAAGTTAAGATAATATATATATATATATATATATATATATATATATATATATATTTATTTTGTTCAGCTATACCACATTACAATATGTTTAAAACACATACGCTGAGAAATGGACCTTTGTTGTTGTTTGTTAAAATTAATAGAGTGAAAAGATTCGATTGGGATGTGCTCAGATATTTTTAGTTCAAACTGAAGAGTATTCCTGGATGAGGGGGCAGCATAACTAAAGGCTCGCTTTCCTATTTCAGTTTGAACTGGGGGAACAGTCAAATGATCAGATTCACTTGAACGTAGGGCATACTGGCCTTTTGACTTATGAAGAAGGGAACTTGGGTATAAAGTCACAGACCCTTGCAGAGAGCCTTGTAGACCAGAGTAATCCAGTGGGGATACCTCAGCTTTGGCAGACAGTTCACAATGATAAGTTGGTCTACGACAACCTGTAACAAACCTCAGTGTGCTGTGACAAACAGAGTTTAAAGGCTTAAGACATTTGTTTGAAGCATTCATAAATAAAACATCACCATACTCAATCAATGGTAAATATGTTGCAGACACCAAATGTTTAAGAGATTTAAGAGAAAAGCAGGATTCATTTTGATGTATACCCAAGCTTAACTCTCAATTATCGAACCAAATTTGCTATGTCTGCTTTGAGGGAAAGTTCCTGATTGAGTAAAAAACCTAAATACTTATAGCTGGACACTGAATTTATGTGTTCGTCTTGGGGGGTAGTAATTAATGATTAGTTCTGCACAGGGGTGGAACAATTTGTGAAAATCATTCATTTAGATTTATCCACATTTAAAAACCAATTTTAGATCCTGAAAATGAGACTGAACAATATTAAAAGCAGACTATAATGATTATATGGCCTAAACAAGTGATGGACAGTGAAATGTTAGTTTGTTTGTTTGGTCCATTCAAATTTAGATGACAGTGTTCGTGTTTATTCAGAAGAACCACGTTTACAAAGCAGTCGCAAACCTACAGGCCTGTTCACCTGTTCTGGTAACTATAAGGTAAACTATAATTATGTGGCAGTGCAGCAAGAGTCCAACATTCCCCACTGCATTCAGTGAAAAAAAAGTGTGGTTCATAATGAACTTTCATAAAGAAACAGCACATGAATTGTGATCACCTCTGAAGTTACAGTTATTGTCCTTGGTGTGAACAGAGTTTTGTCTATTGTTTTTCTAAACTTTTTGTCTGTAAATTGGAAAGGGAGCAGTGGAATGGGGATAAAAAAAGCAAGACCTTGGAAAGAGCTTTTTTAACATAGTAGTTCTTTTAAGCTGAGATTCTCAGAACACTATCTGAAATGATTGAGACACAAGCTCATTGGTCAAACACATCCTTTAGTGCCTTTACAAAGAAAGAAATATGATAAAATAGCAAAATTGAATGGGAAAACTCATTCTGTTTCAAAATTTCAAGAATTCAGACTTCATGTCAATATTGGGAGCAGAAAAGTAGGTCACACTTTACAAAAGGTTCATTAGTTCATGTTAATTAATGCATTTACTAACATGAACAAACAATGAACAATACATTTACTACTGTATTTGTTCATGCTAGTTAACGTTAGTTAATGAAAATACAGTAGTTCATTGTTAGTTCATGTTCAACTCGTGGTGCATCAACTAATGTTAACAAGCATGGACTTGGATGTTAATAATGCATTAGTAAATGTTCAATTATGATTAATAAATGCTGTACACGTGTTGTTCATGATTAGTTCATGTTAGTAAATGCATTAACTAATGAACCTTATTGTAAAGTGTTACCGAAAAGTATTTATCTGTGCTAATGTTTTACAGTACAAAACACAGCTCACGTAGAAGTCACTTTCAAAACAAGCAGCTTGCTGTGAAAGTAAACCCAACATGTTCATCGTGAATGCATTGGGTAATTTGAGTGTTGAAATCTGTCACTCTCAGGTGCAAATTCTGATTATGTGATTTTCATACAGAGTGTAGCGCTGTCGCCTCACAGCAAGAAGGTCGCTGGTTTGAGCCTCGGCTGGATCAGTTGGCCTTTCTGTGTGGCGTTTGCATGTTCTCCTCCAGGTGCTCCGGTTTCCCCCTCAAGTCCAAAGACATGCGGTATAGGTGAATTGGGTAAGCTAAGTTATCCATAGTGTATGTGTGTGAATGTGTGTCTATGGTGGCTCGTTCAGACTAGCAGCAACTTTGTAGCTGCCTGCCTCTCTGGTTGGCGATCTGCTGCCAACGCAGGTCTGTGTTGGTATATACAGCACAAATACAACTGTCTCTGGATTACGTGGAGGATTGGGTGAGCTCTACAGGTATTTCCATTGGCTGTCGCTCAAGAAAGTTGCTCTTCATTTGCATAAAGTTGAAGGATTCTCAACTTTGTCGCATTGCTCGACATGCTTCACCTGGTCGCCAATGGTCGCTTTCGCTTGTGTAGATGGAGGTCAATGGAAGTCTCCGTTAAAATGAACGGTCGATTTGCTGCTGTGAGTCATTTGTAGTGTAAATAAGGCTTGGGTGTTTCCCACTGATGGGTTGCAGCTGGAAGGGCATCCACTGCATAAAACATATGCTGGATAAGTTGGCGGTTCATTCCGCTGTGGTGATCCCAGATTAATAAAGGGACTAAGCCTAAATGAAAATGAATGAATGAATGATTCTTATATAAATTATTGGATTTTGTTGTCAGTATGAGCATATAGTGGATCCTTCTCTTTTTGAGCGATTATCATTTTTATAACCTTTGAATTGCTGACGCAACCTTACACACGTGATTGATCCTTGTGATTAAACCACTACAAATTCAAGTGAAATCAAGTCAAGTAAAAAGTGATGTTTTTGTCGTATTGCTGACTGGGTTCTGCTCTTTGCTCTTTCCTCCACCCCCTCTTTGAAGTCCCCGCAGCAGCATGAGTCTAGTACTCTCCAAATATTTTGTGACATGCACTGTTCTTTCTTATTATGTTAACACCCAGAGTCTAACTGCAGTGTGGAGCCCAAACACAGATTAGTACACTAATCTAACCTAGAGGCTCTACGATGGAGGGTGCCATTAACCATCAGCACTGAATCGCATTCAGTACTAACCACATGCTTCAGCAAACACAAGGAAACCCTTCATTATCATTAGTTCAGATTACAACCACATATCCACCTCCACAGGCTTTAGTTGCTGATTAGATTAAGAGGGAGAGTGATTTTCTACATAGGGACAAAAAGCCTGTCTGATTTAAATACAAGTTAAGCTAATTCAATGCTACAATGTTGTGTTAAAAAACAACGACAAAATAACACAATGCAAAAATACAAACAAACAAACGAACAAACCCAAAACATTAGTTGATTCCCTAATTTTTAAGCTGCAGCAAATGTTTGCACGGATAAGGTGATGACGTCCACATATGTTTTCAAATGTAATTTATTCCTGAAATGGGAAAGCTTATTTTTCAGCAATTATCGCTTCAGTCGTCAGTGTCAAATGATTTTTTAGAAATTATTGATTTGGTGCTTTGGGACATTTCTTATTATTTCCAGTTCTGCTTAATATATATATATATATATATATATAGGAACAATGGATTTTCTTTCAGGCTTCTTTGAGTAGAAAGCTAAATGGCATTTATTAAAAATGTTTGTAACATTACAATTTACTGTCGCTTTTGATGAATTCTTGCTGAACAAAACTATTCATTTCTTCTTTAAAAATCTGATCCAAGAGAACAGTGTAACAGATAGCCTGCTGAACTCCACATAAATAAGTTACAGACATTGTACAAAAGAAAAGAAAATCAAAAACAAAAGTGTATGTTTAGTAATGGATTCTATTATATGAGTTTAATGTTTAGGCATTATTTAAAATTGTATTATTACATAAGATTAAAACAAAAAATATTGTTAAAAGTCCTATACAAATAAACTTGAATTGAACATATGCCAAAAATGCCATCAAATTAGCACCATTGGTTCACATATTTATTTTAAATATTTATTTATTAACATATTTGTTAACATTAACACATTTTCATACTCAGCACATCCAAGAATAAATTTACTGAAGTGAAAAACCTACTACACTGGATCTATTGCAATACAAGTTACTTAGTTAATCATTCGTAATCTACCAAATTTGGTAGCTAATTTTAATTGAAGCAAAAGGAGCAAAATAATGACATAAATATGCTTTATATAATTACCCGAGGAAACGAAAATGAAACAAAATAAAACAGGCATTTACTTAAAAACACGCCAATCACCTTTATAATACATTCAGTGGAAGTTAAAATTCTGCGTAGTTCATTATTAAATGATCTGTAGTTGTTCTGAGCACCGCGAGAGGCAGTTCGCCAGAATCACTAGAGGGGCGCTGTGGCGCTGTCCATGTCCGACTGGTCCGCGCTGACGACCTGACAGCCTTCACCAAACAATTAAGAGATATTTCTGCTAGTTTCGGCTCAAGAAATATCCTTTAATTGTAAGGTGAAGGTTATCATTCTTCATCCTGCATGGAGAAAAATGTAAAAAAAAAAAGTATGTCGGTAAATTTCTGCAAGAAACATGATTTGAGTCCCATGGACGTGTTTTTCTTTGAGGAAAAAATAATTTGTTCCAGCATGAGCTGATGCCAGACTAGAGTCGAACAACTCACCTTGTGTGTAAAACATTTTATTGTTAAAATGCATATTCGCCATAGTATTTGACGTTAGCCAGTTCATTCACTATTCACTGTCAGTCTCAATCACCCACTTGTTTTCCTTCGTTCCGTGGTTCCTACAGACTCCGCTTCTTTTCTTTTATCAGGGTGCTACCGGGCAAAATATCCACCGGTAAATGGCTGTCTTTTTTCTTTTCACTCCCACTTCTGCAGTCGCTGTCGGCGCGCCGAACTTCTGTGGAGAATTTGAACCGTCCGCACCGGCAACTTTTGCTTCCCTCCAGCAGCCCTGAGTTCAGATAGGCGACAGAGTGAAGGTTTGTGTTTCTCTGTAGGAAAAGAATAGTTTAGGCTAGCAATAAGTCTTTGAGGAAATGTCCCTTCCTGGTGCTCAGCTGAACTTCACAGGTGTAGGGCTGCGCTAGACCGCCCGTCGCCACTCCGCTGCGGCGACTCTCTCCGGCGCGCGCGGATTTCATTTCTCCTTGGTTTTTACCGTACCCGTTCCGATCTTTCGATTCTTCGGTCACGTGGTGCAGCGAAACGCAAAAGACTGCGAGCATTGAGATGGCGAGAGAGTGAGGGAGAGAGAGAGGGGGGGTCTCTCAGAGCTGCAGTTAGCAGTATCCAAACCACACTGAGAGCTGGAGCGCGCGGACTCGTTGCTTTGCCTCTGACCGTGGTACCCCCGTCGTTTCCCTTGCTCTCCTACCCCTCCTTTTCTGCTTTCCTTCCCCTGAGAGCTTCTCTTTTTTCCCCGCGAATATCCTTTCTCACTTTCAATTTTAATAGATCTTGGAGAAAGATAGAAGTGACGCATCCTTGATCTCCACAGTCGCTCGCGCGCACGCTCCTTTTCTTTCTGGAAGTGGATTTTTGAAGCGACGCGGACGCGTGGATGATACACCGGGGCGAGAACTGGAGATGGAGTTGCTCGTGATCAGCCTCTCCTTATGGATCCTGCAGTGCCGCTCAGCTCGCGCGGACTCCATTATTCACATCGGTAAGCACGGACTCGGACAGACGCGCTGAATCACGGAAGCGCATTGTGTTTTAAACTCGCAAGCGTGTTTGACTTGATAGAAGGCGTTTTGGCTTACTTGAGCTGTTTGCCTTTTGATAAATGCCATAAACTTGCCGGCAAACAGGTCCACAAAGTGCTTTTTAGGTGATGGCGAACGCTTTGGCTTCACGAATGCTTTTAGATAGACGTATAATCAAATCGAGACGTTTATTGTCGGTCTGTTTCAGGGTTAACTCCGGTCCACCCCTCCCCAGCCTTAAGCCTGAACTTTCTGTTGAACGTGACGGAAATTTTAATTCTGTTCAATGAGGTACTGAGCGCGCGACAAGTCTCTTCTCGTCCACGCTCGCTGTTCTTAACTCAACTTCAACTTGTTCTTGTGTTTTCTTAGTGTAAATGATATAAGCCTCCTCTCTGACGCTTGTTTTGTCGCATAAATCGTTTGTATTCGCCAGTTTGACAGGGTTGTGTCAGTATGCTGCATTCCGTAGTCTCCGGTAACTTACGCTGGGAACTGAATTGGATAACTGGCAGACCTGAATGGGCAATACTGTCTTAAAACATCCCTTAATGCGATACTTAAAGCAATGTGCTTATATTACGTTAAATGACAGGCCATTGTCATATTTTTGTGATCAGCCATAACCCTTTATAAATCCGGCGTCTCTGGAGCTCCTGTGTTGGTAGGGAGCCTCTCTTTTGTATGCAGTGGACGTTCTCCATCATCCGGTGCGCTTGACTGTTCTCCTCAGCACCAAGATCACTCAAATTGGATTTGAGGGCTGGGTTTTTAAGAAGGACGATTTAAGCCCCAAACGTTGAAGCATACACAATTTCAAAAGATAAACGTTCACTTCTAACGAAATTAACCTTTACCGAATGCAGTTATTTCATGCTGTAACCTCTTGTTAATTGCCTGATAGTGTTCGCTTAGAATTCTTCTCAGGTTTTTATTGCTACACATTTTATGTTTTGGTCTGAGTGATTTTATTACCTTTGTTCTTTTTAAATCACATCTGACTTCTAAGTGGTTTTAGGTGATAATTTTAGTTGTGTATTCACTGTATAGGCAAATGCGGGATTCATATGTCCCAGTTTAAAGGAAGCCTTTTATTTTAATTGTTCATTCTTAAAATTATGATGAAATTAAATACCTTCATTCATAATTGAAAAAAATATATACAAATATATTCACTATGTAACATAACGTAAGTATATATGAAACATAAGGGAAGTATTACAGTATATAATTTTTAACCTCAATTACCTCACGACTCATTTAATCAAACTAATTTTTGATTAGTATCCAGTTATTCATGTAAGTACTCATGCATTATGCATTGTCCCACATTATCCCAGTATAGTTCCATTAAATTCATCAGTCTGGGATATTTTACATGGCCATTCAGGCTTCTGAATTTTCTGAGAATGTGAAGGACACAGGAAACTCTGATCAAAACAGCTCAGCTTTGCCATAGATGCACATTGTGTATAAATGCTTTGTACATTTTATTTAAGCTTGACTTTAAAAAGCTTTCTCCTTTCCATAACCTTAAACATCCTCAGCTGTCTTTGACCCGCATGTGTTGGCAAAGTGATTAATACAAGCATACTTTTGTTGCCTCAGTGCACGGCATGAAGCCTCAGTGGCTGTTTGTTGATGGCTAACCGTGCATGTAAATAAATAAAGCCCTATTTGCTTCTCCTACACCTTTGGCACTTCAAGCTGGCTGCTCTGTGCATTTTATCACTGTCGCCTTGATCTCAATATGTCATATCATCGGTGGGTCACTGTTTATAGTCCTGCACAAATCAGCCTTATTGATTGTGTCCAGACACATTCTGATTTAATACTAAGCTGTATTTCCTCGTGTCAAGGGCTTGTTAGCGAAACAGCACTTTATGGGTTACTCAGTAATTTGAAGTCAACGCTTAAATCGGTCTATGCAATATTATGTCAAGGATTCATCTCTAAACAACAAAATAATAAATTGCTATGTTTAGAACAATGGGCAGCACGGTGGCCCAGTGGTTAGCACTGTCCCCTCGCCTCACAGCAAGAAGGTCGCTGGTTCAAATCCCAGCTGGGTCAGTTGGCATTTCTGTGTGAAGTTTGCATGTTCTCCCTGTGTTCGAGTGGGTTTCCTCCTGGTGCTCCGGTTTCCCCCACAGCTAAGACATGAGGTGTAGGTGAATTGAATTAACTAAATTGGACGTAGTGTATGAGTGTGTGTATATGAGAGTGTATGAGTGTTTCCCAGAACTGGGTTGCAGCTGGAAGGGCATCCGCTGTGTAAAGTTGGTGGTTCATTCCGCTATGGTGTCCCCTGATGAATAAAGGGAGTAAGGAAAGGAAAATGAATGGATGAATAAATAAATGAATGAATAAATGTTTAGAACATGACCCTCTGGAACAGGGTTGGTGTAGTCAACTAAACTTAAACCATAATTCAGTGCCAATGGCGTAGTTGTTAATGCGTCGACACATGCCACTCTGGTGTTCACAGTGACACAAGTTCAATTCCTGCCTAGAGGGTCCTATGCCGATCCTTCCCCTCTCTCTGCTCCCCATGCTTTCCTGTCTATACTCTCTACAGTCCTATCGATAAAATGGGAAACCAGAAAAAAAAAAAAAAACTTAAAGCATAAAACTAAAATCAGATTGGTTGAAATAGGCATTTTAGGGCATATAGAGTTCAGTAATTAGTGACCCACTGGTTTCTGAATTCCACTAGGCTTTTTGTGTAAAGTGCAGCCAACTTTTTACTTGCTCAGGAGTAAAATTAACTTGTAAATACCTTTGCTGGGATACAATTAACAAACATCAAGGCACCATGCGTGTTTCCTCACAACAACAAATGAAGCACACAACAAAAATGACAGCAGTGTTGAAAGAATTTGGTCATAGTGCTATAGATGTTGGCATAAGCCCTGCAGTTTACCAACATCATGTTGATACAGTACGAAATGACACTGTTGTGATTCTAAAGTTTGATTATAAGTTGTATTTTATATTATAGGCTTTATAGATTTGGCAAAGTAGATTTGTTGTTTGATTAAATCAGTTTTCTTTGAATTTTTTGTATTTTAGTTATTGTAAAACTCGCCTCGCAGCAAGTAGGTTGCTGGTTTGAGTCTCAGATGGGCATTTCTGTGTGGAGTTTGCATGCTCTCCCCGTGTTGGCGTGGGTTTCCTCCGGGTGCTTCGGCTTCGCCTACAGTCCAAAGACATGCTCTATAGGTGAATTGGGTTTGCTAAATTGGCCGTAGTGTATGTGTGAATGAGAGCGTATGGATGTTTCCCAGTGATGGGTTGCAGCTGGAAGGGCATCCGGTGCTTAAAACATGCTGGATAAGTTGGTAGTTCATTCTGCTGTGGCCACTCAAGATTATTGAAGGGACTAAGGCAAAAAAAAAAATTATGAATGAATGAATGTTTTAAAATGGCACAAATGGAGAAGTTCCTGCACATGCACTATCAGAAATACACACTCAAATTAAAGCTATGTAGACAGATTTTAAAAAGCTAATAGAAATTACAAAATCACACAAACAAATGACTAACACTTCATTCATTATTTCATTTTGCTTTGGCTTAGTCTCTTTTTCAGGAGTCATCACAGCGGAATCAACCGCCAACTTTTCTGGCATATGATTTACGTAACACATGCCCTTCTAGCCGCAACCAAGTACTGGGAAAGACCCATAGACACTCATTCACACACTCATACACTACGCCCAATTTAGTTTACTCAATCACCAATAGCGCATGTTAACTGTGGGGGAAATCGAGCACCCGGAAGAAACCCACGCCAACAGCAAAGATGCAAACTCCACACAGAAATGCCAACTGGCCCAAAAGGGACTCGAATTAGAGACTTTCTTGTTTGAGGCAACAGTGCTAACCACTGAACCACCGTGCAACCAGACTAATACTTCAACTAAAATAAAATAAAAACCTTATTATATGTAAAAAAAGAAGCAATAATCAATCAATAAATCATTAATAAAAACAGCAGCAATAGTTGATAATACTACAATTATACAGTTCCGGACATTGAATCGTGACACTGAATGATGTTCTCTCATTTATTTGACCATTGACCATGGCAACAGAACTTTTTCTTTTCATATCAATGCAACTTTAAAAGCCTTTTGCCATTCAAAACATTTGTAATGCAAATGAGTGGAATTAGTATTATTATTTGCAATATTGCATCAGTGGTTGTCTTGCTGTTAGACTGATTATTTTCATTTGTAGAAGCTTTAAGCTAATCTACCAGCAGGATGCTAAAACAACTTTCTTAAATCAATACTTCATAGAGAGTTATTTATTTTGTAATAGCCATGCATTAGGGGCATTTTACCATTATCATTTGTCCATTCCATTCATCAGTCTGGGATATTTTGAATGCTCTGTCCACTTCCCAAATTTTACGACTTTTCAAGGAGACAGAGAACTCTAACAACAGCTCAAATTTGCCACGGATGCAGCTTGTCACGTATAAGATCCCCTTGACATAAAAGATCATCCTCTAGGCTTACAACCCACTGTGTTTCTACAGGCTGTGAAACGCCCTTGACAAATTAGGGATGCGTATAGAATATTTACTGCAATTCCAGCATGTGCGCTCTCCATGGTGCTGAAATGCTGTTGGCTATTGACAGGTGAAGAAGTTGCTGTAAATTGTATCTGCTGGTAAATATGTTATGCCTAGGTAACCTGAAAAGTAATCCAACTTTTTCCTGTGGCTCATGATGCTTTAGCAGTAACTTCCTTTAAACTTAAATCTGGGAAGTTTTTTAAAGAATTGGGTGCAATGAGGAGTCATTATTCTATTTTAAAACAAGCCTGATGTCATGAGAAAACGCAACTGTTTTGTGTTTTGTCACATTAGTGGATATTTTGTATGAATTCAAGTTCAGTCATATAGAAATGTACAATTTTAAAAAGGAGGCGTGGCCAGTGGTGGAAAGAGTACTGTAAAATCATACTCAAGCAGAAGTACCGTGACTTAACCAAAAATGTAGTGCATGTAGATTAAACGTATCTGTTGTAAATATTACACAAAGTATGAGTAAAAAGTAACCTTTTTAAAAGTACTCAAAAGTAGTGAGTATTATGCTGTAAAAGATTGATGCGTTTACATACGATGTGTGCAGAGATGTGTAAACATAACATTCTGTAGTGCATTTAGTTCTAGTTTATGGCCATTTGGCAATTTCAGTCATCATAAACATCCTTAATCTTCTCATCAGTGACATGCAGTCTAAACCAGGGGTGTCCAAACTCGGTCCTGGAAGGCTGGTGTCCTGGAGAGTTTAGCTCCAACCCTAATCAATCACACCTGAACCAGATAATCAAGCTCTTACTAGATATACTAGAAACTTCCTGGCAGGTTTGTTGAAGCAAGTTCGAGCTAAACTCTCTAGAATACTGGCTCTCCAGGACCAAGTTTGGACTCCCCTGGTCTAAACAGTCTCTGGGTCATTGTATGTAAAGATTTTGGACATCTTCTTAAACACTATTAATACATCAAGTTTGGAGTCAACTTGTCAACAAAGGTTCGACAGCTGGACCACGCTTCACTTTGCCTCCTTAACCAATTACCTACTCCCTAAAACTAATTTAAAGCAGACGAGCCCTCTAGCACTGTTCTTCTCATTCTCTTGAAACCACCCTTTCTCGCTTTATTTCCTTGCTTCCCATTAACAATCCTCATAACCCTTCCCCTTATAAGCTTCCTAGGTTGAATCAAAGAGTCCAATCACTCTAGGAAAATATTACAGAGACCCCCACTCTAAGTTTCCCCGATCATTCTACCTACCTGTTCACTGTTTATCCTCTTAATTCCATTCCTCTTCATCCCACTGTTCCCTCACCATCCGTTTTTATTCTTACAATAAAGTCTATCTCAAAGTGTGTGGGGGTCCATGCTGGTGAAGCTGCATTTATAAAGCACCCATGTCCTCAGGTAGTCGAGTATAATGCCATTTACATTCTATGTGTTATTTGATTGAATTGCTGGAATCGCAGGTCTGATTTTTCTACTCAGCCAATCCCCATAGATGAGAATAAATAAAGTAGTGACTGCAGGTTTAAAGAAAGAGTGGAGTAAAAGTACAGATTCTGCACTAAAAGTGTACTCAAGTAAAGTAAAAGCACACGTTTTTAAAGTTACTTAGCAAATTACAATTCCCGAAAAAACACTTCTCAATTACTGTAATTTGAGTTTTTGTAATATAGTTTTTGTAAAGTAATTTGTAATTACTTTACACCACTGGGCATGACACCCAACTGTCATTGGGGGATATGTTATTCATACAAAAATTTATGAATGATATTGTACTAATTCATACAAATTAGCCATTAAATCAAAAAGTTATGAATTGCAGTGAGGTAGCATTGACTAAAACATATGAGCAAATTGCTTTTTTAGTAGACCACAAATAACTTCAAAAACTAATCAAAAAACAATATTAAAAATAACTTGGAGGAACGAAACATAGTGAACTCTGTACACATATATATTTGTGATTTCTCTGAATATTTTTTTGCACAACCTTATTATTCAAAATTATTTGTCTCAGTTATTTTGAAAGAAAATTCCAGAAACTAAAAGGTCAACCCAAATTTTGAAACAGTAGTCACTAGGGCTGTGCGATTAATCGAAATGGAATCACAACTGGGATTTGAAATGTTGTGATTAGGTAATCGCAAGAGGCTTTGATATGAAATATGTATTATCTAATTTCCTCCACCCAGAGCAAATGCGTGACTGCCATCTGTGTTAACTGTGTGCCTTACTAGCCAATTGAGTGAGCACACTTTTATTCTGCCCAATCAAAATTGCGCACCCAAACTATGCGGAACACCCACAATAAATAATAATAATAAAAAAACATACAAACAGAAAAGCGTGGACAAGTGGCATCTGCCACTTCAGAAGCATTAATATACAAATTCATATCAAAGAAAAACAGCACGTCGGTAATATGTAAATATCTTGGTTTCAAAATCAGACACCAAACAAAAACAGATCTTTTGTAAGAGCTGTCGCTGAATTGTTGCTACAGCACAAAGAAATACAACAACCAGCACCTAAGAAAAGCACCACAGGGGGCTGAAAAGTCAACTAAAAGTTATGACAATGACACTCAATCTAGTAGCACGCAACAGCAAACTACAATCTCAGAGTTGTTTGCGGCTATTACATTATATGAAAAATATCACAAAGGCACCAAGAGATAACTTACACCATAACTTTTACCATCTGTGCCTTTTAATACAGTGACTAAAAAGGGATTTAAAAACTTCATCCAAATGCTGGATAGGGGATACACACTTCTGCCGAACACAAATTTTTGCCATTTTACAGTGCCACTTTTTTAATAAGCTATACTATCTCCCTATTTTGAGTTGAACTTGTTTACAGAAAGGTCAGGTCATTTTATTTGTGTTTATTGTTTGCTCTATAGAAAAATTAGTGTTTAATTTTTAAATATTTAAAAACAAATCTGAATAACTGTTGGAGTTAATATCTTTTTTTAAAATAACACTGCATTTTAGCAGTAAGAAGACTATTGAGCTAAAGTTTGACTACAAAATTAAATCGCAAAATAAATTGAAATCGCAATATCTGTTAAAAAAATCCCAATTAAATATTTTCCCTAAATCGCACAGCTCTAGTAGTCACATGCAGCAAAAGTTGAATAATATATATATATTTTTTGACACATGGTATGAATTTCCATCCTTTTCATTTTTTCGTCATTTAATAATAAGGTTTGGAAGAATCGCTTTCATTCGAAATGATATTTTAATGACGCATGCTCTCTTTCATCTAACAGGAGCTATATTCGAGCAGAACGCCATACGGGACGATGAGGTTTTTCAGCTCGCCATTTCAGACCTGAGTCTGAACGACGACATCCTCCAGAGCGAGAGGATTACCCATTCTATCAAGCTCATCGAGCCCAACAACCCCTTCCAGGCGGTACAGGAAGGTGAGTGAGTGACTGAGATCTCTCAGCAATCGATTAACCACGCTGTCCTTCTTTATCTTTCTCTCCAATCCGTTTGCTTGAGATGTTTCCCAATACCGTCAGCCCTTCTCATGAGGCTTTGACATCAACAAACACTGTAGATATAGCTGCAGGTTTGGAGTTTCCATTCCTGTGGAAAATATCGCCAGGGCTTTATAGTGGTGATTTCTCTGCTCTGAGTCTTTAGTTCTTTTAGAATCTTTTTCCTTGCCTTTCAATCAAAATGGAGGCGAAAACAGGCACCTCTTGGAATGGGAATCCAGTGGAGGAAAACTTGTGTGGGAATGTGCTGAGGACATATGTGCTAACATGCTGAGGGTGTTTGTGTCACACTGGCAAGCTGGATCAGCAGACATTGATGTATGAATGGAGCAGAACTTGATTTATGTTATCAAGCGTGAAGGCCAGCTGTCATCATCTGTCCGGCTCAGACATTTTCATTCAGTTCCTCGTTCAAGCAATTCTCGGTTTGATCGCTGCTACCGGAGATGCATTTTATAAACAGTTATTATCGTGACTAACTTCCGTCAATCACTCATACATAGGAATAATGGGACTGCACAAAAGCTGCCACTTTTCAAGCGGTTTGTACCTGTAAGGTTCCATATTGGTATCTTAAAGGTGCATATTAGTAGCTAAAGTGTTTATCTTAGGGCCAACATGTACAGACGTGTCGCTTTTGAAAAGCTGACAGCTTTTGTACCTTTATTTTTGAAAAGTAATAGTCTAGTGGCTGGCTTCATGAAAATAAATTCATAACATATAGTTTTGTAGCTCTGGTGGAGGTTCCGGAATAATTGCGGATGGCCGAATTGCTCAAATCATTTGTGGACATTGAGTTATAATAATAATAATAATGATAATAATAATAATACCTCTATATGTTGCAACATGTTTAGCAGAATTCAGCACTTAGCATAATGTGTTTTTAATGGACCATTAGTTTTATGAAGTGTGTGCGTGTGTGTTTGTACACAGCCACAGTATGCTATAAAAAATGCTGGCTTCCTCATAATTCATTCATGTTGTCCCAACAACTTAAATGTTTTTACAAATTTAAGTGGATCGAACATGAAATAATTAATTTGCCCTTTCAAAAAACTAAAGAATTCTGTTATTTCAACTCGTTTTAAATAAGTTGTTAGAACAAGCACTAAAAGTCATAATCAGGGCTGGACATTAACTTTTTTAATCAGCAGCCACTTTGGCTAGTAGTTTTCCAACATTACTTGCCACTTGCCGTTTTCACTAGCTACAATATTGTTGTTGGGAATTTATATTTTAAATGCATAAATTTGACTTTGGTATGCTAAAATTATTTGATTAAGATTTTGTGTTCTGCCCACATACCTACTCATTCATTACACTTTTTTTTTGTGTGTTGTGTATGAGCTTGCGAAATGTCCATGAACAAATGAGTTGTGTTTTTACAATGTTTTGCATGACTTTTCAGGGCTCAACATTAAGGATTTATCTATTTTTTCTCAGGCCACTCCAAAAAATAAAAAAACAAATATCTAATTATCTAATTAAATATCTTATTACTTAAAAAATCAAGCTAAATATAGCTGTGTACAAGCACTGATTATAATCAAAACCTTTCTTAAAAAATGCATAAAAAATCCTGTCTAAAAATGTGCTGGAAATAATCACTTTTTCTAACTTAAACCAAATATCTAAAAATTCTTATGTAAAAACATTGTTTTGTTTTATTGTCAGAAGAAATAAGTCAAAATTAGGAGTTTTACCTTTAAACAGGCAAAATTATCTGCTAGTGACGTAAGTGTAATTATCTGGCTTTCGCTTTGAAATATTTTGGACTAGAAACAAGACAACAATTCTAAGGAAATATATTTTTTTTTCATAAATCATATACATTCCGCATAAACACACTAATTTAATACAATTCTGTTCAACTTTAATTCAGACCCAGCATTCCATATTTTTGTGATATGACTATATGGATGCTCACCTTACGATATCGATGCTAAAACGATATATTGTGCTGTAATAGTATATAGAGTTATGCTGTAGTGGGTAATATTTAAAAACAGCCTAATAGATGTGAATAAATAAGATTTAATAATTAAGGAAAGTTACAGTTTTCACAATAAAGAGTTAAGTAACTTGGTTTTGTAAAGAAAAGAACATTCAGGAATTCAAGTTATCTCGTTATTTACTACCCTTTAACTGCTTGAATGGTTGACTATATTTTGACTGTTTTAAGTAATGACGGTTAAAGTCATTTAAAGTTTGCTGGTGCAGTAGGTAGGGCTGTCGCCTCACAGCAAGAAGGTCACTGGTTTGAGCCTCGGCTGGGCCAGTTGGTATTTCTGTGTGAAGTTTGCATGATCTGACAACGCAGTGGCGCAGTAGGTAGTTCTGTCGCCTTACAGCAAGAGGGTCGCTGGTTCGAGACTCCGCTGTGTCAGTTGGCGTTTCTGTGTGAAGTTTGCATGTTCTCCCTGTGTTTGCGTGGGTTTCCTCTGGGTGCTCTGGTTTCCCCCACAGTTTAAAGACATGCGGTACAGGGGAATTGGATAGGCTAAATTGTCCGTAGTGTATGAGTGTCAAAGAGTGTGTATGGATGTTTCCCAGCGATGGGTTGTGGCTGGAAGGGCAGCAGCTGCGTAAAAATGTGTTGGATAAGTTGGTGGTTCATTCCGCTGTGGCGACCCCGGATTAATAAAAGGACTAAGCCGAAAGAAAATGAATGAATGAATGTTTTAAATAATGATTTACACTCAGCATTCTTGGTTTACAAAAAGATCAAACAAACTTAATCCAGTTGCACTATTACACTTTATTGTAAAAAAAAAAACAACTACAAGAAAACATGTTAAATGAGAATCTGAAATATTTTATGGCATACTACAAAATATATAGATTTTTAGATCACACATTTTTTAAATTCATTTGTTGTTATACTTTATATTTTCAGATTTTTCATTGTATATGTATTGATTTCGGTACTTTTACCATAAACCGCCACATCAACCATTTGGTAGAGGTTGATATTTTAGAAATTATGGCATGGGCTAAAATAAAAATGCATTGTGTGTTAACTAGCGACATTAGGGGTTAAGAAAAGCAATCTAAACATAGTTTTCTTGGTGGGGCATTTAATGGGTTAAGGACATTGCTCTTTTAGTATAATTAAGCAGCTATTGTAGTTTTTATTAATTTATTTGAGCTTTTTAGCTATTTGTTCATATATCTTTAGTAAATATTTAATAATTTATGTTTTTATTCAATTTGTTTACATAATTTTGTTCGATTTGTTAAGTTATATCAATAGAGTTTTTAAAGCTTTGATGTAAACAACGGTAAATGTTTCCTTTACTAGGTCAAATTTAATAAAATTATATTAAGTATATTAAGAAAACACACGTTTAATTTTTTTTTTTTTTTTTGAGAATGTAAAATATATTTAAGTGCCAAAACTTTTTAAACAGTGTGTTTGGGTGAATCTGGCCCCACGGTATTTAGAGCTGACAGTGAGAATGATTGCGCATCCTGAGGACACTGAGTATTGCACTTCTCTCTGGTTTCCAGGGGCTCTGAGATCGATTAGCCTCCCTGGTTTTGAGTGACAGTCGAGTGGTGATGACCTTTCACTTTGCTCTTTAGCTCGCATTCACCCTACTGAGAAGAAACTCTCACCTGTCAAATATACACACGCGCACACACACATACACACAAACAACCACTTAATCTCCTCTATCAGCAACACACATACACTTTTGGCATGACATAGTCCCAGCCTTTTACCTACCAGTCAATAAAATGATTTAAGATCCTGTCCGTGGAGAGATGACACGCAGTGTGAGTCTGTGGCTCAGGTGAGAGTGTGTAATGTGAGGACCCAGCTGTGTGTTTATCTCACCTGCATGGTCTAATTACTCATTACAGCTGTGCGACTGCATCACACACACACACAGCCAGTCAGTCTGTGGGTTTTATTTTCCTTTATCGGTTTACTTGAATATTGAGAGTAGAATATTTGTTTTGGTACTTTTAACCCACCTACTGCCAGTTTAGCTAATTATATTTTAGCACCACAGGTTACCTTGGTGGAGAACTGCATATTTTATTCAGAAAGGCTCTCAAAGCATGTGCCCGTGACCGAAATGCAACCTCTGGTGGATAGTAGCAGACTCCGAAATGAGACGCAGGTTCCAAGTTCCACATAAAGTTATTAATTAGCAAATAATATAAATATTACGAACGTAAAAATTAGGTGAGTTACATTGTAACCACGTGTCCTAACTAGGGTTGGGTTGATGCAGATGTGCAGATGCAGCATCATCTGATGATGCAGATGTTGAATCTATTGTCCAGATTCAACATCTGGAATACACTTGGCAAATCATTCATTAACAAAACTAAAGAGCATCAGACTTTGTACTGTACCTCTTTTTGTAACTTAAACAATCCTTTCAAACATTGCTCAATTGACTGTGCACTAAAGTAGAAAGTCATTAATTTAGGTACAAGAAAAGTTAGATTAACTTTATCGAATGTCCTTTCTAGGTCAATGATAATGTGAGAGAGAATCCTCTGTTACTGCATGACAAAAAACCAGTTTTTCTTTTTTATAAAAAGACAATAATGCAAGATAGCAGATTCCCAGCTGATATTCAAGAGACCCATGTATCCTTGTTGTATCCTACTCTGCTTTTTTTGGGGGAAAAGTGCTGAAATGGAGAAATCACCTGAAGGGGAAATCGCTTAAAGTATCATGCACTGTGAAAATAACTTTTAACGTCACATTGAGAGTACTATGAGCTTCTCTTCATCACATGCCTTTTAATTTCTGACCTCTTGCTTTTTCTGCTTTTCTAAAGTCTTGATTTTAGTCTTTTTAGCTAGAGGAAGTAGAAGCGGTCATCCTGGATGCTGTCAGATCTTTCTTTGCTTGAAAGTTTTCTTGTAAAATCATAGATTTCTGCTTAATTCTT